CACAGGAGAGCATTCCTGCTTTCCAGAGAGCTGGAACCATTATTGCAAGAAAAGATCGGTTTCGGCGAAGTTCCACTCAGATGGAAAATGATCCCTATACACTGGTATGTATTCATGTTGATTTTCTGTAATTCTTGTGAATGTTCTTGAATGCTTGATGTGTTTCATGGAACATATTTCTTGTAAATATTGTCTTTCTATTCAAGCCCTTTGCTGTCATACATATATTTTAATGAAGTTTATGCTAGTTAGCTCCTCATGCTGCTTGGCATCTGTTACAAACCAAGAATAAGGAACGAAATATAAGAGACAGATTTTATTAAATTAGATGCCAAAAAAAAAAGGAATAGGATAGTAATCTCTCCTCCAAGGGTTTGCCCCTTAACAAAGTGCTAAAGCTTAATTTAGAAAATAATACCTGAATCCCTTTTTCCCTTAACATTCTCCTATTTATTTAACTCCCTAACTAACTATTCAGTATCCTAACTGTCTAACCAACTCTCCCTTTCCCGTAGTCCTAACAGCATCAGACCATCAGCATGCACTCTGAACATTGAAGCACATCTTGGGCAAATATATTGCATTTTAATATTTGTCTTCCGCACCTTTCTATGATTCTGAATTAAGACGTTGAATGGGTAGTTTGCATTTGTCTATTTTATTCTATGATGAGGACATTGAGGAGGATGTGTGTAGTACCACCCAAAAACTGAATGATTTTATGCATTGCAAGGGTAAGTTGCATGTCTGCATGTGTATAAATTCATCCATGAAAAAAAATCTAATCTGAATCTCATTTGTCCACTTTCATGGGTATACCCTATGAGTTTATCATAATCATGTGGATATTGATTATTTGAGAAACTTGATTACTTATTTGTTTATATTCCGACCAAAAAATGGCAGCCTTTATAATATTGAGTCAATGTGTTAGGAAAACCTGAGGGGTTGTGCCTTTGTAATTGTTGACAGTAGCGGAAAGTAGAAAAGTAGTTTGCTTCGTTATAATTGTTATGACTTTCTTTTTGACAGGTTATAGCTCTGAATAGTTCTCAAGCAGCTGAGGGTGAACTCTACATTGATGATGGCAGCAGCTTTAATTTTCTGCAAGGGGCCTATATCCATAGACGTTTTATTTTCTCAAATGGGAAACTTGCTTCTGTAGATCTGGCTCCTTCTGGTAGCAATGGGCGTTATCCATCAGATGTTTTAATCGAAAGAATAATTCTGCTGGGACATGCTCCCGGCTTGAAAAATGCACTCATTGAGCCATCAAATGAGAAGGTTGATATTGAACTTGGCCCCCTTTGGTTTCTAAGGGCACGTGCACCAGCTGTCATGACCATACGTAAACCTAATGTCCGTGTTGGAGAAGATTGGACTATTACAGTTTCTTAATATTTCTGGCCTGAGGGAGGAATTTGATGTTCAATGCTACCTGTAGCGTAAAACGAGATTTTGTTTGTGTTTCTCTAGTTGAGTTGATATGAAGTTCAACTGCAAAGTTGGGGCAAGAAGAAGAATCGCATTAGCTTTGAAGAATGTTATACGCACCAACTCAGTCTGAGCGGCTTATTTAATGTAGGACTTGATAACTTGAAAGATTGATATTTGGAAGTTGTTGACTACAGGAATTAGTTCGATAAGGATAAATTTGTATCGTCTGGAATAGTTTGTGTTTGTTTTGGAAAAAGTTGATATGATAAATATAAAAAGTAACCTAGTCGGTAGGTTTTGTAGGCTGCAAAATCGAAATAATCATTAATGAATAATGAATTATTTTTTGTAAATAAAACGAATTCACCTAAGTTGCGTGAGTATGTGCACAAGGCCACCAAGACTGCGCTAAGGAGGAATTTGGATAATTTTTTTTTTATCTTTTAATCTTGTATTGCTCAAAGTCGTCAGTCGTGCCCGTGCCGAGATTCAAATATTTTGCAGGATCTCTTACTCCATGAATGATGATAAGTGATGCTCCTCCTCTGCCAGTTTATAATCGACAGGGTGTAGAAATAAGTAGGTGCCTACCAAACAATACCCCACTTCAGTTAAATTTCAATTCATTCGGGGTGGGTATCAACTATCAAGAAGAGAAGAAAAACATATTGCGAGCGTTTTATTCATAAAATTGAAGTGCGAGTGAATCGCATACTTGCAATGCATCTCAACCTCCTCTCCTTCAAGTGAAAACTCATCTTAGTAACATATTCTAGATACCTAGCATACCTCTTATATTGAGTCGAATAGACCCGCCCCGCCCGATTCATTACACAAATCACATACATCTAGTCATAAACTTCACAGTTCACATGTATTTTGATCTGCTTGAATAGAATGAAGCAAGTGTATGATGAACTTATCCAATGCCAAGAAACTACAACTTCATATCTTCATCTGCTTTTTGAGCGACATAATCAATGACGAGTTGCACACAAAATATCATTTTTTTTCCACTATGGATGCAGCTAGCATTGTTGATTACTTTAGCATTGCATGTCCTACCTAAACAACTCATACTACTCGCTTCTGCTTCTTTAGGACAATCGCTACGGCATTTCTACATTTCGAATGCGCAACGGTAAAGTTCTCTTTATTATTATTATTATTTTTTTCATTTTCTTACAAGTTACCCCAGCTTCTACCATTTCTATAATTCCAATGTATCCAGAAGACAGATATCATCCAGGATTTATCGTGTTTTGAGATTTTAAAATGGTTATTGTTATTATTGAACAAAGGGGAAAAGAATAAGAATAAGAAATAATCAAATTTTGGATTAACCAGTATGATACATAAAATTTATCCAACGAAAAACATAGTTTCATTACTGTAACGTAGAGCAGATTTCAAGTCCAGGCTAGGCTCACACATGATCATCCTACACATTCATTTTTAAGTCCAGGCTAGGCTCACACATGACCATCATACACATTCATTTCTAAGGGAAAAAAAATGCTTGTGTTAAAAGTTGCAAGTAAAGTAAAATTGGCTATAGGTCATAATTAATCTGTCTTCTTTTCTGGTAATTGAGATTTGTTGAGTAACACAGATCGCTTATCCTCTGCTGACTTAGCATGGATCTCTCCTTTCTCTTGGAAATATCTCTCAAAAGCTCTTGGAAGGAACCTGGGTATCAAGAACCCAAATAGATTGCTAGAGAAATAAACCAAATTAGCCACTGCCAGACCCTTCCCGAACCAAAACCATGCCGACTCCTGCATACATTGCAACACTATAAACTCATTCATTTCCAATCTATACATCACATACATACTATACTGATTTTGATGCAAGAAAATTACCTGAAAGCTGGCATTAGCAGGCAAAGTCTTGTTGAGCCACACATCCCGAGTCCAATCAATATCCACAAAGATCCTCCTAACCGTATACATCATTGGAACCAACGCCCTCACTGGTGGCGAAAACAAAGACAACCCAGCAATGATGTTCTCAGTCAATATCTGAAACGCCAGCAAAAACAAATGAGGAGTAGCTGAACGCACTGCATGCTCATCCCCTCTCGCAAACCCTCCAAGCACGTAAGCCAGAGGCAAGAACAGCCCCACAGTGGTCCCAACAACAACGTACATGCGGAACATTCTGCTTCCTCTGAAGATCTCAGGTGAACCCGAAGAAGAAGATGTTGAAGGAAATGCGAAGCGTGCAAGTGCCAAGATGTATGCAGAAGCAAGTGCAGGGAAAACTAGGTCAAGGAGTGGGACAAGACCACTTGCTGAGAACACTAATATGAAGGCCACGAGCTGGAGCTCTATCACGCGAAGTGAACCCATCATGCCACCGAGTGGTGCCTCTTCTGCTCGAGCTTTAGCCTTTGTGCCCGCTGGTGGCACCTTTTGTTCTGCCACTGATGATGCTGCTGGACGAGACGCTGCTAGAGACACACCCGACATTTTCTTTCTTCTTAACTTGGTTTTTTAGTTCTTGCTCCTTGACACACCAAATCTGCCAACAAATTTAGACAAGACATGTGTTTGTTACATCATGACATCATTAATAACAATAACAACAAAATTTAAATGTAGTTTCAGGTGCATATCGGCTTTGTTATCCTATCAGAATTGAAATTTTATCCAAGTATATACTTTTGTGTAAGTTTTCTTATCAGAATTTGAATTTTATCTCACTAATTAGAATAAAAGCTTATACTAAAGATCAACATAAATTACTAAAATAGAATTCTAGTTTCTTAATAAATAAGAACATCAAGAAGAATTATCAAACTGCATATAAATTTTGTCCTACTAATAACAATGCAGGTATTTGAGGGATGATTATAAATTAACCATAAGTTGAAGTGGTTGTTGATTTGTTTACATAAGCAGCGTAAATAATGGAAAAACTCGATTTAGCTTAGAGCTAGTTATAATGGAAAATCTCTTGTTGGATGCCAGAGTGCATAGTGACATACCCACTTACAAAAAGGGTGGTGAAGATGAGGAAGACTTGATTCAATAAAGATTGTTGCAGTTTCCAATATTTCAAAGAAAAACTGATGAAGAGACGAAATAGAATCTAAGAAGAGAGATGTTAGTCTTACAGCTAAAATGGTTAAGAGAGGATGAGGAAGAAATGTTGATTGAAAAGAAGCGTTGCCGTAGGCGATGAAAGAGACGAAGCAAGGGATGTGGTTGGATGAGTGTAATAAGATCCTAATTTGATGCGGGAGACATAAAAGAAGCTTGCACTGTCCCATGACACGCGAATGTATAGCAAGCAACCTTGTAACGTGGAATTTTTGCATGTTTGACACTTGTTTCTATAATACATTCTGAGTGCCCAATGCTTTGCACGTGTTACGTTCTAGTTCATGCTAGCTTATTTTGTCATTTTGTTAGCTTGGAGAGAATTCTTCTATTTTATTTTCTCCCTTATCTCTTGATCGTTTGACAAAGATTGTTGATAGAAAAACGAGTTTCGGTTGAAAAAAAAAGTTCATCGAAAATGATTTTTTTATTTATCTATTTTATGAATAATCACTCTTTTTTTGGAAGAAACTAGTCAAGTTGATATTTCAAATACAAATTGTAACATAAGACGTTTTAGTAACTACTATTGATTTGATCAAATATATGTTGACTACTACTTTTATGGTTGCATGTGTTCTGTTGTTTCTAGTTGGAAATGAGTTGATTTAGTGGGTAGGTCCATAAAATTTATAGTTTGCTTTATTTGAAAATATATATAATTTATAAATATTAAATAAATTATTTAAATATCTAATAAATTATAATATGATTGTGTTATTTATAAATATAGTAATTAAGATATTTATTTATTTATTATAGTTTAATATTCACAATTTATTTTTGAACTTTTTTTAAATATATTAAAAATATGAATTGCAAAAAATTACAATTAAGAAAAATATTCACCAGAATTTACTATATATTATTATTTTTATTAAAATATCAGAATATTTGTTATCGGGTTGAAAATAAATATTATAATTACAAATATTCTTTCAAATATTGTAATTTATTGTTCATTATCCTTTTTAAGACTTTACAATATATTAATTATAACGTGATAAAAATAAGTTGACAAATAATATTTCTTATAATTACTTAAATATCACAAATAAAAATTAGTTGATATAATAATTAATAAATTTTTCATTTACTTTAATTTAATGGATTAAAAAGAACTTTAAAAAATAAATATAAGTAAAATTGTAAGAACTAAAAATAGTATTTTAAACTTTATTTAAATAGCTTAATTTGACTTCTCTATTAATTAAAAAAATAACTTAATTTCTTAATTTTGAAAACAATGCAAAATGATTATTTTTTTCTAATTAAAACTAATGAGATTAATTTTTTTTTTACATGTTGAGATATTTTTTTAATTGTTTTACTTGTAAAAAAAATCTTACTTACAATCAATCATTGGATATTTTTAAAAAAGAATTCTTTATTATTATTATTATTATTATTATTATTATTTATTATATTTTTTGTTTAAGAATCATCTAACATCCTGAATTTTTTACTAATATAATATTAGTTATTATCTAAATTTATATTTTTAAAACATATTTTTATATAGTTATTTTAATTAATTAAAGGGGTTTTTGTAAAGGTTTGTAAATTATTTATAATAATTTTTTTAATTCTGTTTCAGGCGGAATGAGCTGTTTCAAAAAGTCGAACGGACCGTTCCAAACAATGGGAATAAGCTGTTTTGAGGAAGTAGAACGGGCCGTTCCAAAAGTGGAACGAGCCGTTCCAAATTTGTAAAATGACCAGTTTTGATTTCTCCAGAACGGGCTGTTTCCAAAGGGAAACGGGCCGTTCTGGATTTCTGAAAATGCCTAAAAAAAATTGTTAGAAACGGGTCGTTTCCATAATGGTCAATGTGTGTTAACTTCAATCCCAGAACAGGCCGTTCTGCTTTTAGAACGGGCCGTTCTGCTTTTTGGGAACGGGCCGCTCCGATTTTGGAACGGGCCGTTTCAGTTGAGAATTTTGTGTATGTTTGAAGGTTCCGGAACGGGCCGTTTCGAAATCAGTACGGGACGTTCCGGGTGCGTTATGGGAATAAGCTGTTTTGAGGAAGCAGAACGGGCCGTTCCAAAAGTGGAACGGGCCGTTCCAAATTTGTAAAATGACCAGTTTTGATTTCTCCAGAACGGGTCGTTCCCAAAGGGAAACGGGCCGTTCCGGATTTCTGAAAATGCCTAAAAGAATTTGTTAGAAACGGGCCGTTCCCATAATGGATAGTTAGGAATTGTAAGGATTAGGATTTTAATCTTAGTTGTTATCTGGGTAAATCTAAAGTAGTGGTCGATGCTTTGAGTAGAAAACATCTATATTCATCTTTCTTTATGGTTAAAGAGATGTATCTTTTGGCTCAAATTAGAAATTTAAGTTTGACTTGTGAAATTACTCCTAGTAGTGAGAGATTAGGTATGACTCGAGTAACGAGTGGATTGTTCAAGGATATTGAATAAGCATAATTAGTTGATTCATTTTGGTGGCAAGGCATGAGGCTATAGGACAAGGTAGTGAATAAGAGTTTGCATGGGGTATAAATGAAGTGGTAAGACTTAAAGACCAAGTACGAGTACATAGTGAACTTACACATAGGCGTCTAATCCTTGGAGAGGGTTATAAAAGTAAAACTAATATAGTGACAAATGCCCTGAGTAGTATGAGCATTCATCTATTATTTTTTATGATATAAGGGTTGGATTCGATTGAGGATGTTAGAAACTTAAGCGTGATGTGTGAGCTTACCCTTAGGAACATTGAATTGAATATGTTGAAAGGATTAATAGATTAATGAATGAGATTAGAAGACCCAGGAGTTAGATCCTTTCTTAGTGACCTAAGTGAAAAAGATTTGTAGGGATATAAATAGCCTTTTACAAGTGGAAGTTGATGGTGTTTTGGGGTTCATGGATAGAATCTATGTGCTTAGTAAACCCAAATTAAGGAAGATGATATTAGAGAAAGAATATAAGAGTACTCTTAGCATTCATTTAGGAGTTACTAAAAGGTATCAGAGTGGTGCAGCGGAAGCGTGATAGTCTAAGGTGAAAAGAGAAGTAAAAGAGATGGTTAGAGGATTATGACTTTCAATTGAATTATTACCCCTATAAGGCGTATGTTGTAGCTGACACTTTAAGTAGAAAATCTTTGAGAGTGTTTTCTTTGATGATTAGAGAATTGCATATGATTGAGGAGTTTAAGGATATGAACTTAGGGTGTGAGTTGACCTCTAAGAATATTAAGTTGGGAGTCTTGAGAGTAACTAATAGTTTGATATATGATTAAAGAAGGTCAGAAGGTAGATCTTTTCTTATTAAGTCAAGTAGAGAAGTTGAATCAAAGTGTTAAGAGTGAGTTTAGCTTTGGAGTGTTGGAGTTTTGAGATTTAAGGATAAGTTGTGCATTCCTAGTGTGCCAAAGCTTAAGAGAGCAATCCTAGAAGAAGGTCATAAGAGTAACCTTAGTATCCATCCAGGAGCTACTAAGATGTACCAAGACCTTAAGAAGATGTTTTGGTGGCCTAAGATGAAGAGGAAGTGGAGGAATTTGTGTATGCTTGCTTAGTATGTTAGAAAACTAAGGCAGAACACCAAAAACTTTCAGATTTATTGCAACCTTTAGACGTCCTAATTTGGAAATAAGATTCTGTATTAGTTGTAGTTATGTATGATATTCTTAAGAAATTTGATCTTATGGATATGCTTACCGAGTTTGCTCACCTTGTACTTATTAACATTAGACATTTCTTGGAATTTCTCTAGACAAACAACTTGTTTTTATTGCTATAAAAGAGGCCACACAATTAGGAACTGCTATTCTAGAAAATATGGAGTTCCAAATGGAGAGATGGTTTGGGTTGAAAAGAGTCAAAGGCTGAGAACTAACCAACAAGGACCCTTCACATGGGTACCTAAATTTTTCCTCTGAATCTTTGTTGTAGGAATGGTTGAGGGCCAAGAATCTACTTTGGTCAAACTATGAAAGGTTTTATTTACTCCAAAGAGAAAAAAATTTGTTTATATTTAGTGTATTAATATTGGGGTAGAGGGTGTCACATTTAGTGGTATCAGAGCAGGTCGATCTAATCGGCCGTGAGTTATGTACTTATCGTGATTCTGTTGGGTACTCTGACAATGTTTTGTTTGTTGTATACTTTGATGATGTTTTGCTTTGATAATGATGATGATGATGTTCTCTTTGTGCTGATATTGTTGAGTTGGATATTGTTAAGTTATTAGAGAAATGATAGTCATATGTGCGAGTAGTAGACAAGATATTGTGCTAATATTGTAGGGACTATTGAGGCCTTAGATTTGGGTAAGACATTGATTTTTTCTAGTGTATTAAGAGTTTACGATTGGTGAAATATTTGAAAGCTATAGTTGTAGCGATTGAATCCAAGGATGATGTATGTTGAGAATTAGAGTTTTGGTATTCTTAAAGAGAGATTGAAGTGTTGATGATTTTTAGAGTTTGATGGTTGCATGTGAATTTTATTTTCTGACTTTTTGTACTGAAGATGTGAGTTGTTTTGATTTAGGACTGTAGTAAAAAGCTTTGATATGAATTTGAGATGGAAAGGAGTAAGTTTGGAAGGATTGAGGTATTTTGTGGCATAGATGTTGATGCGTTAGTGTGTAGAGGAAGTTTGCACTCCCGTTATAGCAACTTTGGTGATCAAAGGTCTAATTGTAAGCATTGAATATGTTTGAAGGTTCCGGAACGGGCCATTCCGAAATCAGTACGGGCCATTCTGGGTGCGTCAGAATGCTATAAATAGGAGGCAGGGGGTGAAAATTTTATACTGGAGTGAGAAGTGAAATCTTAGAGAGAGAAAGAGGAAGAGAGAGAGAGAGAGAGAGAAAGAGAAAGAAAGAGAGAGAGAAAGGAAGAGGGAATCCAGAGGAGGAGGCTCTGTCCAAGTTTCAACTCCGCTTATCCAGGTAAGGGGGGAGTGAGAAACCTCGCTCGGGGGTGTGAGAATAATTGTTGGATAGTTTGATTGTCGGATTGGCCCCCAATCCTTGCCTATTGTTCTGTTTTTCTGTTTGCTTTACTTTGTTCCTTGATAGACAAAAGACATGAGACCTAAGAATGGACTATTGA